TTTAGTAAGATGAAGATGGTATCACTCCCACCCTTTCTTCTATTTCTTCTCCTGATGCTATTCTGATTCTTATGTCACTGTAGTTTGTTCTTCCTGTTCCAAATGTCAAAGGTGACTCATTTTTCATTCATCTACTTTGGTACTTGGGGTAAATCCTTACTTTGTAGAATGTTTTTCTTCTTTCAATATTTTGCTCCAGGGCCGGGGATTTAGCTCAGTGATTTCGCCATCTGCTGCCCAAGTGTAAGGACCCAAGTTCGATCCCTGGTACCAAAAAAAAAATTTTTTTTTTGTTCCAGTCTTTTTTCTCTGGCATTCTATTACTGATTTTCTCTTTTTATTTTCCATCTCATAGTTTTTCCTTTAGCCTTCTAAGAGGTTTTCTTATACCTCTCCTAGTTATTATTTCATCAAAATTTTAAATTTCCAATTTCTTTCTTCTGATTTCCTTCTGTTAGTCTTATTTTTATAAATTCTAAATTTTATAAATTCTGAGACTACTAATTTAAATTGTTAATTATGTTCTTTAGCCTGTTTCCTGAGTTTACCAAGTTTCTGTCATGTTGCACACTTCTCCAGTGTCTAAAGTTCTATTTTTTTTTTTTTTTTTTTTTGCAGTACTGGGGGTCGAACTCAGGACCTTGGGCTTGCAAGGCAGGCATGGTGCCATTGAGCTAAATTCCTGGCCCTTAAAGTTCTTATTAAATGAACATTTTGTTTTGTTTTGTTTTTTTGGTACCTGGGATCAGACTCAGGACCTTGCACTTGCAGGCAGGCAGGCGGAACCACTGAGCTAAATCCCTGGCCTTAAAGTTCTTATTAAAGAAGAACAAAGCAGACAATCTAACTAGATCACTGTTTGCTTAGGCAGGTTTTGTTGATTGAGAGATTTGCATTGTACTGAGCAGGCTGACCTTATTCTAAGACCATCCCTACCCTAATCAGTGACAAAATGAGATTATCCAGTTTCTTTGATGAAACATTTCTCTTTACCCTTCCTTTTCCTGATCTTCTTCTTCCCTCTTTCTTCTCTGCACCTGGGAAGATAAATGGAATTGGAGATACTGAGTATTTGGTGTGGGGATAGTGGGAAAGTGATTCTTACCTAGACCTTTAATTGTTTGAAACTGCACTTTCATTCTTTTGTTCTTTTTGTAACTTTTTTGGGTTGGCTCTTTTCACATGTAGCCTTGTTCCCATGTTTTCTAGGCTTTCTCTTCTGTGTTATTTTAGTTTACCCTTCGAAGTCTACCTTCTCCCCTCTTGGCTCTGTGGTACTCTTGAGAGTCACATGGGCTGGGCCACCAAGTGACTGCCCCAGCAGGGGATTGCAGAAAGGGTTGGATATGGTTCCCCTACTCTTGGCTTAGGTTTTAGTCATTTCACCCTGCCTGCAGCAGCAGGCCCAAGAGATGGCCAATCAGAGTGCTTCAGCATTTCTGTTGGCTTCCTGTCGCTCTGTTCACAACAGTGAAACATTTGTATGGTTCATCTGTTTCTTGCAGGTTGTGTGTTGCTGGGGATGGAACCCAGGGCATTAGCAAGCATAATAGTGTGGAGCTACACCCCCAGCCCTCCCACCAGGAGTTTGAATAACAGGCAATCATAACATTGATATTTCTTTATATAAAAATGATTTTCTTCATTATTCTAGAAGTTTGTTGAAATCTCTCATCTGTGGACTTCCTCCCTTTTTATTTCTTTGTATAGAGTCACAGGAGAGCAGAGATAAAATTCTATGCTCGTTACCTCATGCATTGCTTTTTTATTATGTTACTTTTTTTTTTTTCCCATACCGGGAATCAAACTTGAGACCTTGCGCTTGCGAGGCAGGTGGTGGAACCACTGAGCTAAATCCCCAGCCCTATTATGTTACTTTTTAAAGAAAGGCTCTATTGAGATATTACTCAAATTGAAGATACAGAATTCTGTGATACCTTTCACAAAATAATAAAAATGCAAGACCTTGGGCTGGGGATTTAGCTCAGTGGTTCTGCCACCTGCCTCTCAAGCGCAAGGTTCCGAGTTTGATCCCCAGTACCAAAAAAAAAGCAAGACGTTGCAATATGTGAACCAAGAAATATAAGACCTTTATGAAAAGAGTTATGAGATTTATTTAATAGTAATGGTTTTTTTGTTTTTGTTACCAGGGATCAAACTCGGGTCCTTGTGCTTGCACAGCAAGCAGTGAAACCACTGAGCTAAATCCTTGGCCCCTTAATGATAATGTTTTTAACATAAATGGGAAGGAAACTTTGGCACTTAAAATTATGAAAAATGTCAGTTTCTCAAATTGATCTATAGATCTAATCAAATAGTTTCCATTAGAACCCATTAAAGTTTTTTGTAGAATTTTGGTAAGTTGGTCTTTGAATGTACATTCACATGCTTATACAAGGAACCAAGAATACTTCCTGAAAAAGAAGAAATATATTACATTTATTACAAAGCTATTGTAATTAACCATATATTAATGAGGAAGTACAAAAATAGACCAGTAGAACAGAATGAAGAGCTGAGATGCAAGTGTAAGGGAAAATTGATGACTTCAATCCCAGTTCTGCCATATTCATCAAAAAGCACATATACAGGGCCGGGGATTTAACTCAGTGGTTTTGCCGCCTGCTGCGCAAGCACAAGGACCTGAGTTCGATCCCCGGTACCAAAAAAAAAAAAAAAAAAGCACATATATAAATCATAAAATCATTTAGACTAAATTTGTTACACATATCTGAATCTCAGTTTTGCTTGTAGTTGTGTTAAATTTGAAAATAAAAACCTTAAATCTTTTAGAAGACAATACTAATTAATTACATGGATGGATTTCTTTAAAAAGATAGAAGCAGCAATGATAAAAATAAAGATGAAGCTGTGTGTGGTGGTGCACATCTGTAATCCCAGCATTCTGGGAAGCTGAGGCAGGGGGATTGCAATACTCAAAATTAAATAAAGGGCTGGGGGCTGGGTATGTACCTCAGTGCAAAATTCCTGGGTTCCATCTCTGGTACTGCAAGCAAGCAATAAATAAATATATGATACGGTCTCACTTTTAAAAAACTCAATAAAAACGAGATGACAACGCATAAACTGTAATAAGTATATCACATTATAACTAATGAATGACTGTTGTTTTTTTCAAGTGACTTTTCGGTAGCACAGCTCTAGTAAAATGTGACTGACTCTCTTTCTTTTTTTTTTTTTTTTTTTGATACCGGGGATCGAACTCGGGATTTCCCGCTTGCGAGGCAGGCAGCAGAACCACTGAGCTAAATCCCCGGCCCTCAACTGACTCTTATTTGAGTCAAGTGAGCTCCATGTACCAATAGCCATACCCACAAATTTTTGATACATGTCTCTGACACATATCTTGAGCTTCTTAAGTTCTGCAAGAGTGCCAAATCCTTTTATTCTTTTACCTGACCTAAAAACTATGTCCCACTGTAAGAATATATTTGGGCCATCTTTAGTTATTCACAGACTTTCGCTTGAAGAGATTTTTACCTTGAAGGTGAAGCTAAGTCTTAAGGGAAATTTATGTCAAGCACTTTTCAGTGGTGTGTTTTATAGTCAAGTATTAGTAATCTTTGAATCTTGGTAGGAAGTTCTTGAATTCATAAATTTTCTCTTCTCCTTTCCAACTGCTGCAGCCAATGCTTTGTTGAGTTTATCTTTTTTCTTACAGTATTTTGTTAAGTGCAACTAATAGCATCACGTAGCTAATAGAAAGATACTTTTCCCCAGCTTCTTTGTGTAAATCCACAAGTTCATTAATTACATTATCTGTTTTCGAGTTATTGTAGGCAAATGCAGTTTTAACACTACCTTATATTGGTCTTTTTTTTTTTTTGCTTTGCTTTTGGTAAGAGTTACTTGCTACTCAGTCCCAATGCAGTGTCACATATGTTATACAGTATGTTTATTATTATGGCAACAACCTACTCCTACCAATTTTTTTTTTTTTGGTACTGGGGATTGAACTCAGAACCTTCCGCTTGCAAGGTAGGCAGTGGCACCATTGAGCTAAATCCCTGGCCCTCCTTCTACCAATTTTTGTACTAGCTTTTCCTGAGTAAGGCTGCTATGTTAAATAACCCCAGGGCCGGGGATTTAGCTCAGTGGTTCCGGCGCCTCCCTCGCAAGTTCAAGGTCCCGAGTTCAATCCCTGGTACCAAAAACCAACAAAAATAAATAACCCCAAAGTTGAGTGCCATACTACAGTAGAGATTAATTTTTTGCTCCTGTGTTAGCTACAAGGTGTCTGTGGTCCAGGGTCCGTTAAATGTGTCTTGGTGTTCCAGGCTAAAAAATATTGTTCTTACATCAGGGAGAAAAGTGAAAATGGCAAACCAAGTAATGTCACTTAATCTCCTGGGACAGGATGTAGATCTCTTACAATTATGTTTCATTGGCCAAGGCAAGTTAATATGGCCAGGCCCATAGGGAGTATTCATTGCTCAAAGACACAACTGTAAGTCACCAGGCACAAGGACAAAGGGATAGAATAGTTGAGCGCAGTAATACCATGTGCACACTGACTTCTACCACATGCACTTCTCCTAAAGCGCTGCTTTCCAATTGCTGAGGTCTTAGCTGAAGAGAAGCATTAAGAAATATCAGTATGTTGGGCCGGGGATTTAGCTCAGTGGTTCCGCCACCTGCCTCGGAAGCACAAGGTCCTGAGTTCAATCCCTGGTACCAAACAAAAACAAAGAAATATCAGTATGTAAGTGAGTACTCATAAGATCACCCAGGGAGAGAGACGAATGCTAGGGTCCTTCTGGGAGAGGTATCTGCAAAGGTCACTGGGAAGGAGCTGTTAGAGGTAGTGGGAAGACAAGGAAAATAGTGTCCTGGACCCTTGTTATAAAGCTATTTTTGCTTCAGCAATTAGAACTTCTTAAAAAAGAAATGCAAGTACTTTAAATCTTGCCAGTATGTTCTGTCACAAGACTTAATTTCCAAGTAGCATTAGAGATTTAATACTTTTTTTGTTATTACAGAGATTTGCCACAGTATGGACAGAAGCAGTGGCAGTCCTACTTTGGAAGAACTTTTGATGTTTACACCAAACTCTGGAAGTTCCAGCAGCAGCATCGGTAAAGGAATTTTATAGTTAAAGGAGAATGCAGGTCAACTTTATATTAATTGCAGCTTTGACCTTTAACATCTTCATTGCTTTTTATCTTGTTACTTTAAAATAATACACTTCACCTTCATGATCTAAATGAGAACAAACTTACTTGTTTAAGATTTTAAAATAAAGTGTTTTTATCTGAATTTTAAAGACATTCTTGTATCCAGAATGGTCCAGATGAATTCTAACATGGTGAAGGATCCATGGTTTCACTCTAAACTGCATGAAAGCTATTTGGGGAGGGGGGAGTTGCTCCTAATTTTCATGATCATAGCTCAGAGTAGTTTCTTTTTATATTTCAGCTTATTTAAATAGACATTTAATAAATGCTTTCCTAAATTTAGTTAAATTGGTATGTTGAAATATCTTGAGAAATTTATGAACTTTACTAATTGGATGGTATTTTATCCTGTTAGATTTGCATATTTGATTTTTTTTATATATTTACGGCTTATTTCTATTTTCTTGCCTCCTATATAAAACAGACAAGTCTTGGATAATCGGTATGGCCTGAAGCGGTGGCAAATAGGGGAAATTGCTTCTAAGATTGGGCAGCTATACTACCATTATTAGTAAGTGAATTGCACATGGAAAGAATAAAATGTTGCCCTTATTACAACACAACATGCAGGAGTGTGCATAGTATGTTTACTTGCTCGGAGGAAAGACAGTGTGTTACACATGAAATCTGGGTCAGACTAGATTGATGAAGATAGCATGACCTTCCAAAATCCATTGGGTCAGACTTAAAGGAATTTAATCTTGTTTTTTCTTTTGTTTTCTTTCTAGCAGTAGTGGGCATAGAACCCAGGGCTTTATCATTCTAGGCTTGCACTCTTCCTCTGAGCTACATCTTTAGCTCTTGATCTTGGTTTTTTGATAAATGATTAATAGTAAATGAACTTATTATTCTTATGGTTTCATTTAACTGTTGATAGTCTGTAGAGATATATCATAGTTCATATGTTTGAGTAGTTTTCAGAAGGATACTTTTAAAAACTCTTATTTGTAGGATTATGAATGTTACATAAAATACATGAAGATGCTTTTGATTATATTCTTAGAACAATAGTATTTGTAGTCCCACCCTTGGGTTGAGGAGAAGAGAGCTCCTTTTATGAATCTAAATGTCATTCTCATAAGTGGCAGTAGGTATAGAATGAAAAAGACTTGGACCGTTTGTGGAGTTTTAAAAATTTTGTTTTGTAGGGGGGATGGTGGTAGTGGTGGACCATTTGTAATTTAAATGTCAAGAAAAGTCATTTATCTTTCAAAATTTCACATGCTGCTCAAAATGCCCACCATTAAACTCACTGCCTTGAGTTGAAGAACATGTTCTTAAAAGTCTCTTGTAAAACTAGACATGTTAAACAGGGAACACAACTCATTAGAATCCCCTGAAGAATAATAGAAGTTAGTCCTTTTATGAGTTTTGTAAGGGGAGAAAATGGAGAAATGGGCCAAAGTTCAAGTGACTATATGGACTTGGAGAAGGTCATGTAAGGGTCTAGTCCTGGGGACAGATCTAACCTGGCAAAATGTTGTCTGGAGAATCCCTTCGCAGAATAAGAATGATGTGTACTTTGGCAGCAAAAAAGGCTTGAGAGCAGTGGGGAGGTATTATTATTGTTATTATGATACATTTTAAGAGTGATGTGATTTTTACCTTGCTGATTGAAATTTAGGACAGTCATTCCTATCTCCTTGTCTAGGGGCATGAAGCAGTATAAAAGAAGTAGTTTTCATGCTGAAGTTTTGGTTTTGGTCATATTTAAAATTTTTTTCTCATAGCTTACGCACTTCTGAGACCAGCTATCTGAATGAGGCCTTCTCCTTCTATTCTGCGATCAGACAGAGATCATATTATTCTCAAGTCAATAAAGAGGACAGGTATGTGTCTACTTTGGTTTTGTAAGGAAGAGGAGAAAAGACTTAAGATCTTTAGTCTGTGTGGAAATTGTGCAGAAAAAGACACATTTGTTTGTAACTTCCATTCATTTTAAAGGCTTTATGGAGTGCCTACCAGGTAACAGGCTTTCTAAAGCATGCAGAGGTATATGTTTTCTAAGCAATAATATTGTAGATGGGACAACATATATCACAATGCAGGGTATGGTCACAGCACAAAGCAGGTTGGGGTTATTTTTTTAGAAGAGATGAGGGTCAGGGCCAGGGATTTAGCTCAGTGGTTCCAGCGCCTGCCTCGCAAGCACAAGGTCCCCAGTTTGATCCCTGGTACCAAAAAAAAGAGAAAAATATGGAGAGATGAGCATCTGTTTTTTGCTATAAAATGACTTACCTGCATCATAGCTAATAATCTTTGTTCTTCTTAGTCTATGTAATCTTAATCATATATCTTAAAAAGCCTCTTGCCACATAGGACCAGAAAAAAGACTGCTAATGCCATTTGGGTTTTCTTTTTTAAGCCAAATATTCTTTTTGCAGATGTTTAGGTCTGCTATTAAAAAAAAAAGGAATCACATAAAATTCATCTATTCCCATTAGAAATCCGTTCAGCAGTATTACATACCAGGCACTGTGGCAGGTGTTTGGGTGAGTGTGGAAAAAAGAAAAGATGTGCTTGTTCCCTCTGAGAAGATTATCTTCTAATGGAGTTATAGGTATCTATGGGTTATAGCTGGACTGCAACATTTAGACGAGGGTGGAATTGTGGAAGAAAGCAGGGATTCGCTAGGGTCTGTGTCGCTAGCATTCCACTTCAAGTACAGAAGGTTTAATGTTCTCTCCATTCTCAGCAACAGGACTCACAGTTGTTATAGAGAAAAGATTATATTTTCTTGGCAAAAAAACAATGTAGTTTTGACATGTTTTTCTAGATATTATGATTGACTTGTTAAGTTTTCCAGCTGAATAGTAACAGTTTTGGGAAAGCCCTGCTGTGATAAATCCCTTTCATTCCCTTACATATCTTATCTTGTACAAACTTGTCAAAGGGAGTTTGCTTGATATGGTGTGATGTGTAGATGCTAGATTCTCCATTTTACTCTGATATCTTTTTGTCATCCCTTTACTTCATCCTCTATCAAAGTTCCATCACTTACTTTTCTTCAGGTTTTCTTCTGTGGTTTGCTTCATATATTTTCACTACAGAGATATTTTCTCCAACCCCAACTTTTCCATTCATGTTATACAGTTTATCTTAATTCTTGACCTATGTTTCCCACCTAGGCCAGTTCATCCCTCCTTAGGCAGCCTGGTGGCCCCCTGCTCCCAGGAGGTCACCATATTGATGCCAAACTTAATATGGACATCCGATCAGCATAATTCACTGCAGCCCAGAACTTCTGGACTCAAGTGATCTTCCCACCTCAGCCTCCCAAGTAGCTGGGACTACAGGCATGCACTACCATGCCCTGCCAGTTTATCTTAATTCTTGGTGAGATAAATCATACCTGTAAAAACCAGAAGAGGACTGTGTAACATTACATCTGCATTAAAAATACGTATGAGCAGAGATCTATTTGAAGCAATAACAAAGTACCTTGTGTAATTCACTTTTCTGCATTTTCTAATGTGCCAAAAGGGAAATTGGCCATGGGCCCCTTGGGTTAAAACCCAACAGTTTTATTATTGCAGTCATTTTCTACTTTAATAGCAAATACCACATCTAAATTGTTTTCCTTTGCTGCCTTCTAGAGCAGTTTGGATTAACCAAGGTAGGATTATTTGGAACCAGGATGACAAGATCTCTTGCTTTGGTCTAGTAAAGTAGAATCAAAGAATAATCCAGCATGCAAAACTTTGACATTGTTCTTTGTGCATACGAAGGGCTCTTTCAATTGGTAGGTTGTTTGTTTCTTTCTGTACATGGGGCAAGGAGGCCAGTCCAGGTAGCAGTTACCAAGATTTACTAAAATTAATATCCAATAAATACCAAGTAAGAAAGTGTTCTATAATTTCACACTTAATTTAAAAGGCAAAAGCAGCTGGGTATAGTGGCGCACACCTGTAACCCCAGCACTCATGAGAGTAAGGGAGGATGATCGCCAAAAGTACAAGGCCACCCTGAACTATATAGTGAGTCCCTGCCCACCAAAAGACACATAAATATATGAAAAAACATTCAACATCACTGGCCATTTGAGAGATGCAAATTAAAACAATGCTGAGATTCCATCTATGATACTCTTGACAAACTTTAGAATTCCATTCCTGTCAAATCTGCCTAGCCCACTACTTACTTGCAAGACACAGACTCTGAGTTGCCATTCATACTTCTTCATCTGAGAAGTATCTGTCCATTTCACATGCCCTTCTTTTTTTGGTAGCGGTGATCGAACTCGGGTCCTTGTGCTTGCGCAGCAGGCAGCGAGACCACTGAGCTAAATCCCTGGCCCCATGCCCATTTTTTAATAAGATGAGATCCCAGTTGTTGATTCATTGTGATAGTTCCTGTGCAATTGAGGTTTTGTTCATAAAGTCTTTGCCTACACCAGTGTCTTTGAGAGTTCTACCTATTCCATCTTCCAGCAGATTTCATGTTTCTGTTTTAATATTTAAATCTTTGATCCATTTCGATTTTAGGTTAGGGCATGGTGAAAGATATGCATCTGGTTTTAATCTTCAGCATGTGGAAAGCCAGTTTTGCCAGCACCATTTATTAAAGAGGCTGTCATCTTTCTGCTGGTGAAGGTGTTTGGCTCCGTTGTCAAAAGATGGCTGAGTGTGTCTGGAGTTGTTTCTGTATCTTCTAATCTCTTCCACTGATCCTCAGGTCTGCGTTTTTGCCAATACCATGGTTTTGTTGTTTTTTTTTTTAAATCACGTTGGCTTTGTAATACAATTTCAAGTCAGGGATTGTGATGCTCCCTGCCTTGCCTTTATTGCCAAATATCGCTTTAGGTATTCTATGTCTCTTTTGGTTCCAAATGAATTTTAGGATTGTTTTTTCTAATTCTGGGAGATATGCTGTTGGAATTTTGGTCAGGATTGCATTAAATCTGTATAACAATTGTGGAAGTATGGCCATTTTCACTATATTGGTTCTTCCTACCCAAGAACAAGGGATATCTTTCCATTTTCTGATACCCTCTTTGATCTTCTTTTTCAGAGTATTATAGTTTTCCATGTAAATGTCTTTTATGTCCTTCATTAGACTGATTCCTAGGTATGTCATTTTTTTGGATGCTATTGTGAAAGGTGTGGTTTCCCTAATTTGCTCTCAGTGAGTTTGTTATTTGTGTATAGGAAAGCTATTGATTTTTAAGTGTTGACTTTGTATTCATCTATATTACTGAATTTGGTTATTAAGTACAGAAATCCTTTGGTGGAACTTTGAGGGTCTTCTATGTAGAGTATTATGTCATCTGCAAATAATGATAATTTAACTTCTTCCTTTCCCATCATCATTTCTTGTCTTTCTTTCTCATGTCTGATTGCTCTGTCTAATGTTTCTAGAACTATGTTGAATAAGAGTGGTGACAATGGACATCCTTGTTATGTTCCTGATTTTAGAGTGAAAGCTTTCAGTTTCCATTTTGTATGATGTTGGCTGTTCGTTTTGTTGTAGATGGCTTTTATCAGATTGAGATAAAGACCATGTATTCCAATTTTCTGTAGGGTTTTTATCATGAGTGGGTGTTGGACCTTTTCAAACGCATTTTCTACTTCTATTGAAAGGATATGTTTTTTGTCCTTGGTTCTGTTAATATAGTGTATTATATTTATTGATCTGTATATGTTGAACATCCCTGCATCCCTGGGATGAACCCTACTTGGTCATAGTATATAATCTTCTTGATGATTTGCTACGTTCTGTTTGCCAGCATCTTATTGAGGATGTGTGCATTATGTTCATTAGGGAATATGTGCATTAGGCCTGTAGTTCTCTTTTTGGTTGGATCCTTGTCTGGTTTTGACTTCAGTATAATGCTTGCACCCTCCCAAGAATGAATTTGAGGGCCGGGGATTTAGCTCAGTGGCACCACTCCTGCCTTGCAAGTGCAAGGTCCTGAGTTTGATCTCTGGTACCGCAAAAAAAAAAAAAAAAAAAAAAAAAAAATTAATTTGGGAGTCTTACCTTTCAATTTTATTAAAGAGTTAGAAATAGCATCATTAGGTCTTCCTTAAATTTCTTGTAGAATTCAGCAGTGAATCCATCAGAGCCCGGGCTTTTCTTTGTTGGTAGATTTTTAATTACATATTCAATTTTATGGATTGATACTGGTTTATTTAGAATTATTATATCTTTTTGATTCTCCTTTGGTAATTCATATGTATCTAGCAATCTGTCCATTTCTTGTTTTCCATCTTATTAGAATACAGGTTCTCAAAGTAGGTATTGATGATCTTCTGAATTTCTGCAGGGTCTGTTTTGATTTCATCCCTTTCATTCCTAATTGCATGGATTAGAGTCTTTTCTTTCTTTTTTTTGATAAGGTTAGCTAAAGGTTGGTCAGTTTTATTTAATCTTACAAAGAACCAATTCTTTGATTCATTGATTGTTCGTGTTGTTTTCTTAGTCTCCGTTGCATTAATTTCTGCTCTGATCTTTATAATTTCCTTCCTTATACGAGCTTTTGGCTTGATTTGTTCTTCTTTTTCTAGATGTATGAGGTTCAACATTAGGTTGTTTATTTGAACTCATTCTGTTTTTCTGCTATAGGAATTCACCACTATAAATTTCCCTGGTCAGACTGCTTTCATTGCATCCCATAAGTTTTGGTATATTGTATTGGCATTATCGTTTAATTGTAGAAAATGTCTAATTTTTTTCTTTAATTTCATCTGTGACCCATTGGTTGTTCAGGAGTGTCTTAATTTCCATGTATTTATGAAGTTCTCCTGTTTTCTTTTGCCATTAATTTCCAATTTCATGGCACTATGGTCTGGTAATATAAATGGGATAATTTCATTTCCTTTGCATTTAC